TCTGTTTCTTTAAAGTTTAGATCATCCTGCCCGAAAGGAAAAACACAGCGTTAGTTAAATGGTATATACAGAATCTTAGACTTCTTCTAACTGAACTGGCAATGTCAGTTTCTTGGAATCAAGCATTGGTATGAAATGGAGTTTTAGATAAGAAAATGGCAAAAAGAGAGAGAAAGGTTGGCGAACGAGAATGTGAGGATAGGAAAGACAGATGAGGGCTGATTAGGGGAAGGAAAGAAAGGGATTGAAAAGTAGGAGATGCGGAAGGTGAAAAGGAATATGTATACTATAGGATTCGTACCTTTTTTTCAGAAACAAATTCAAGGACTTTCCCAGGACTTAGATTGATTTTTCCAGGGCTCCAAATTTAAACTTAAACCCTTTCATTCCCATGATTTCAAAATCAATCCTCCTTACTGTCTTTAAAAAATTCTTATAATGTAAATTTTAAAAGCTTTTTTGCCTAATTCAGGTAGATTGTTAGGACTCTCCAGAACCTGTAGTCTTTTTTCAGGACTTCAAGTCCTGGAGAATGTCAAAACAGGTTTTTTAGGACCCATACCAACCCTGATAATCCGAGAAGGAGGAATTCAAATTTGAAGCAGTGAAAAATATAGAGACTTAGACTTGTTCTCACTTGTCACTCTCGGGAGAGTTGTAGGATAAAGATTGCAGTGGTTGAAGATCAAAAACTAAATACAATACAACAACAGGGGAACTTTCCATTGATTGCCTTAACTCCAAGAACAACGTAATTAAAACGGTAAATCAGACCAAAGGAAATTATGCAAGAAACCAAGGAGAAGTCAAAATAAACAAATCTCTTAATGCGGTAAGCGCCACTGGCCAAGTTCGTGATTATCCTACGTTCTGTACTTGATTGCTGGAGAAAGTAGCGTAAGTTTTCTATACCAATCTCAGAGCAAAACAAAGCGAATGCAACAAAATACTAAATTGTCTACGACACTCATTTGAAAGTCGCGTCTCTAATGCAAGAAAATCTGAAGAGTACCTTCATTCGTTGAAGCTCTGCCGGACTGGGTAAGTGCTTTGTACGTGCCATTCCCTGATGACGAAAGATAAAACAGTCAACAAATACATCTCATGAGATGTTTTGGTGTATACTATCGCTGAGTATTTTTACAAGTTGTGCCTTCTTTTGAAGAGCCCGTCAAACAACGTGTAAAATACTAAGCAATATTACAAACAGTCTAATAAGTTTTTCATTATCAAACTGCTTTTTTTTCTGCTCATTTCTCACAAGGCAGGAACAGCAAAGCAGATACAGAAGCGTGGAGCGCGCAGCCGACCTGTTAAACAGGTTATTTCACAGTGCAAAATATCCAACTCTACAATATCGCTAGATATTTGTACTCCATTCGCACGTTCATAATAAATGAATAGACAAGCCTACAAATGAAAGTAAAATTTTACTTAAAGATAGGGTGGTGACCGCGTTATTGCTACCATAAAGTTAAGCAGATTACTTCAGTTTAAAATCAGAGAGCTATATAATCAGGAGAAAAAGTGCAAAAATTGAGCATGAGCCACTATTATAACGATGAAAGAACATAGCAAAAAAACAACAACAACTGTTTGATGATTCAAACGTACAAAAGGTCTTCCTCGCACTAAACCAAAGAAAAAAAAACTCATTTTTTTAAGGAAAACGTTAAACATTTTGTCACAAAAGTGGGACAAAGCAAAAGGGAGAGGCCTCGAAGAAGGATTCGAACCTCCTCTTTCCCTGTGCGTTTTTATTAAAAAAAAAAAAAACTTGATTGTGAATAGAGAGACGAACAAACCCTGCTCATATGCTCCAAGACGTTCACAATGTTGTTTTCCAACTGCTGCTTCCTCGTCTGTTGAAAATCGCAAAAGTCACAAAATCACATCAAAGTAAACAATAACAAGGAACACCTGTACGAAAACAGCCCTTAGACGTACAAGGGAGGAGCGAGTGGCAACCCTTACCCCACTCCTCTTGGTACCAAGTGAGATTGTCTGAGACATTCAACCTTTGATCCTTTTACTTCCAAGATCCCATTAGTAATTCTCCTCACTGTCTGCTATACGATTCTTGTGAGGTTTGTTCTGGGAATTTGGTATTGGATCAACTGATAATTCCCTAATTGACATTTTTCTTTATTCTCATGACTTATCTGCTAGATGTTGTATTGATATTGTAAGGAGAAATTCCGTCTTGGTCACTCATGGGAGTTGCAGGGTTAACTGATTGAGTTCGCTGGTGAACTAACCTGTTCATTGGCCTTAACTTCCTCAAACGTTTCCAAAAATTCTATAGAAAGCAGAGAAGAATGAACATTATAACACAGGTATACTACACATGTTATGGATCAAGTTTCAGGTCGGCAATTTCAAGTCTTAATATTTCTACCAGTTGTGATACTCCATCCGAAGAGGCTTACTAACCACGCTATCTTTCGTTACGTTTGATAATAATAATA